AATAATTGAATTTACCATAAATTATGTAAAAATTGTTGTATAATTGTATGTCAGGTGTGGGCTATTTGTGTCCAACACTGAGCCGTTTGGGTCACTCGGATGTGGCCTACCGTTTGCTACTACAGGATACATACCCCTCGTGGGGATATAGTATTAAATACAACGCGACCACTATATGGGAGCGTTGGGACGGATGGACACAAGAAAAGGGATTTCAAGACCCGGCTATGAATTCATTCAATCACTACTCTTTGGGATCAGTCGGTCGATGGCTCTTCCAATCGGTGGCCGGTATTGACACTCACGAGGAAGGCGTGGGATTCAAGAGTATAGTAATCGCACCGAAACCCGGCGGTAATCTCCATAAAATGACGGCTCGGTATCAGTCTATCAATGGATTAATTGGGATGAGTTGGGAGACTAACGGCGCGAACATTACTTTAACAGTAATTTCCATTTTATTAACATTTTTTGTTATTTTTGTTAATATTTTATATTTAATAACAGATCGATATTCCGGTCAATACTAAAGCATTCATTGATTTATCATTTCTGAAGCAACCCATTCACACAAATGTGGGCTCCGGTAGGTATGTCTATGAGGGAGAGCTGACACAACCATTCACTCAAATAATGGATTTAAATTGAAATTAAAGTTTTTAAAAGATTTTCAATACAAATACAAATATTATCAAGTGAAATTTTTCATTGACTTATAGACAATAATAAAATGTTTAAAACTATAATAACTTTCAATATTACATTGTATTAGAGGGCGTGTAGTTTAGTGGTATGATACCTGACATGTAATCAGGAGTCCACAGGTTTGACTTTGGGCACCCCTTTTAATACAATTTGTCTTTCAAACAAACTTTAAATAATTTTCTATCTTTTCTGTGATAATTAGATAATTATAATAAGCTATTGAAACTACATCTAAAAAACTTTCGATATCTTTCAACAATAAACTAATGATCAGTTTTCATGTTTAGATATATTATGCTTGCATTTCAACTCAATTCAAATCTCAAACTTTTAGCTTATTTTCAACAATCAAATCAAAAAATATTTTTAGATCCGTTTAACTCAGAGTTATATCAAAGATAACCAATACTTGGATCAGATTCACAAAACCAGTATTAATCCAATTCTAAATCCAAATACTTTGCTAATCTCTATGATTGGCTTTTATGTCATGACTTTTGGGTATTTATAACTGAATTGATGAACAAATGTCATAATAATCAACATTTTGCCAAACAGTTGATCAGTGGTGTGTGTAAGTGGAGGGCCCGTCACTAATGCACCAGAGGGTCAGTTTGATCAGGATCATTCACTAAATTGGGACAACAACTCACACACTATTCCACCGATCATAGAGAGTAGCATTTAGTGGATCATCGCTACGGTTATACTGCATCTGTTAGGCGTTGTCCTCGCGTTAGCCCTATGTTGTGGATGTATTGCATTCATTGTGTCGATATGTCTGAAGTCCGGTCAAAAGATCCTCAAACCAAATGAGACGAAAGTGCATGTGATTAACCCTAACGCCCCTCAACCCAATCCACTCCCTGGTCAGACCACTCATTTTATACGCGTAACGTAACTGTTATGACCTCATAGTTGCGGCCAAAGAGTTATTTTTGCATTCATTCATCCATTTATTTATTGTATTTCTTATCAAAATTGTTGTCAATATTATTTAATATGATTTCTGTCTATTATGGCATTGGAAATAAAATAAAATAATTCTGTAATTAATTAATGCTTTTATATATTCATTGATAGATTTTAGTCAAGAATTTTTAGTACTGTATATACAATGTCTTATACTGTATGTGGTTTTAAAATTGTAATAATAGATTGATTAATAAATTAATACATACCATACATGTACCTTATTTATAAATTAATTACATACTAGACAAATAATTTACTTTTAATTAATAGATCCGAATGAAAAATAATTAAAATTACAGATAATTTGATTAATAATATAGAAAACAATTTATATAATAAACAAATGGATTGATGTATAGATATATGAAATGACTACATCTGGTCACGGGTTTGCAATCAATTTAGGAGGGGGTGGAGGTGTAGAGGCTCTTGGAAGGGGTGGTGGTGGGGGCGCATTGGGGTGTTGCAGGGGTTGTACCGTATGGTAAGTGGTGTTGTTTTGAGTGCCAAAAACAAATTTGAGTAAAACAATGACAATTACAATGATAGCAATAGTCGGCAAACAACATATTAGAAGTATATGAATTAAAATAAGCAAGCACAATATAACATTGAATACCATACCTTCGACGGCATCTGTCCTCCGGTCGACAGTAGAGGTCCCGCGCGTCCAGAATGTATTGTCGCCGATAGACACACCTCTGGAACTGTTTGGACACACATTCGTGTCTTATCTTGTCTTTGAGGGACAGTCCACTCAACAGGACTTCACACA